TATTAAATTGGAGAGAGTTAGAAAAGATTTACCCCAGGATGTTGCCAGGACTGGAGAGTTTGCGTTTTCAGGAGAGGCTGCTAAGGCTGGGACTTGTTTTCTTTGGAGTGTAGGAGGTTGAGGGGTAACCTGAGAGAGGTTTATAAAATCATGAGGGGCTTAGAAAAGGTGAATAGCAAAGATCTTCTCCTACCCTTGGGAAAATTCAAAACTAGGCATATTTTTTAGGTGAGATGAGAAATATTTAAAAGGATCCTGACAGGCAACTTTTTCACACAGTGGGTGGTGCATATCTGAAATGAATGCCAATGGAAGTAGTAGATGCAGGTATCGTTACAATATTGAAAAGACTATTAGGTACACAAATAGGAAAGGTTTAGAGGGCTATAGGTCAAAGGAAGGAAAGCGGGACTAGTTCAGTTTGGGAAACTTGGTTGTCATGGATGAGTTGGACCGAAGGGTCTGTTTGCATGCAGTATGATGTGACTTGGTGATCAGAAAGGAATTACAATATAGTACCAAGTTAGGATGGTCAAAGCCAAACAGAAATGTGTCTTGTGCAGAAGATGTGAAGCAGTTTCAAGAAGATTAGGACTGGCTTGGTAAGTTAGCAAGAACAAGACAGATGTTTTAGTGCACAGAACAGATGTGGACGTTGTTCCACATTGTCGGATAGATGCCAGTGTTATAGATGTACTGGAACAGCTTGACTAGGGCCGTTACTTTTCGTGCTTCTCTACCTAGACTTCAGCCTTGATTTGTACTCCTGACACACTGTTGCAAATTTAGAACTGTTGTCTCCGTTTCTATGTTTTAAACTAACTAATCAATGAGCCATATAAATGTTTAAGTAGGTCAGAAATTTAATATAGAGATAACAAGGTGTAAAGCTGGATGAACACAGCAGGCCAAGCAGCATCAGAGGAGCAGGAAGGCTGACATTTCGGGCCTAGACCTTTCTTCAGAAATCTAGTTGCATTTGGTTTTCTTGGATTCCAGTATCTTTTGTATTGGTGAACTCTGGCACAGAGGGACAGGAGCAGACCATTCAAATTCTCAAGACTTCTGCTTTACAGAGAGATTGTGACTGATGTGTGTCGTAATTCATTTACCCGCCTTGGCTCCTTACCCTTTAATACCCCTGTCCAGTAAAATCTATCAGTCCCAAAAATTTGAGCTAGCATCCTGTGCTGTGTTATGGGAGAGAGTTGCATGTTTCTAGTGTGCTTTATGTAAAGAAGATTTCTTAACTTCTGAATGGTCGAGCATGAGTTTGACATTAACTCCCCTTGTCCTATAACCAATGAAAATAAAATGTTTCTCTCGATCAATGCTATAAATTTCTTTCAATCTCCAAAAAAGATTAATCTTAATTTTTATCCAATATTCATAGAACTAAAAATATCTCATAATTTAACACTTGGAGCCTTGGTAATATTTTCATGAATCCATACAGCACTCCATCTGTGATCATGCGGTATGTAATTTCTAAAGTACAGTATACATAATATTCTATATGTCTAACCACGGTTTTGTTGCAAAATTTGCTATCTTTTCTATACAAATTGTCCAAAGTGAATGTGTCCCCACTATTCTTAATTGTTTTTGGTACTTGACTATTGCATTTTCATGATCTACAGATACAGCCACCTAAATTTGTCTGGGCCTCTAATGTTGTTAGAAGTTTGCCTTGTAAATAATACCTTGATCTATGCCTTTTTGATGCCAAATTATTCTTGCATGTCTGAACTGAAATCTTTCTACCACAGTTTTGCCTATTAATTCTGTAGGTATCACTTTAGTTTTATGCTATGTGTGTAATTACATATATGGCTGTCCATTGTATTATCTAATTCATTTATTATTAAGGCCCGAGCACAGACATCGTCCAGTTCAAAAATACAGTCTCATTCCTACTCTGTCTTCTACCATCTAAGTTATCTTCTAGCCAGGTCAATAATTTGCCTTTAATTCCATGAGCTTTAATTGGAACTTATATTTCTTATGTGGAATTTTTTCGAAGCTTTCTGAAGGTCAGCATAAACAACATACACTATCTCTAAGTTCCCCTTCAAGTCACCCATTATCCTGACTTGGAAATACCTATTATCCCTTCTTCATCACTGACTCAATTTCTGAAACTCCCTATCTGACAACACTCCGGGACTACCTTCTCTACACAGACTGCAGAAGTCCAAGAACGCAGCCCACCACCATCTTTTCTAACAAGTCAGGATGGAGATTAAGTATTGGCCTTGCCAAAGATACTCCTATCCCAAGAATAAATAAAAGCATCCGTCAACATTCTCCTGTCCACTACTTCAATTAATTCCTCAAAAATCTAATTAATATCAGAATTAAGTATCACCTACCCTTTAGAAATCCATGTTGGATTTCTAATCAGCTCAAATTTCTCCAAATGTTCAGTCATTCAGTCCTTGATTATAGATTCCAATGACTTCCCCAACACACATGTTGTACTAATCAGTCTATCAACTCCTGGTTTCTCTATGCCTTTCTTAAATAGTGGCATTGCATTTACAGTTTTCTGATCTAAGGGGCCAATTTCTGAAATGAGAGAACTTTGGAAAATACTGGATAAAAATCTGCAATGTCCTCAGCTACTTCCTTTAAAATCTTGGGATTTGTCCAAGTTTTGTGTCATTAGTTTTGCTAATGCATTTTCCTTGCTAGTGTTAACCAGAATGAGTTCCAATCTATGATTCATTATTAATTTCCTTAGAATGTTAAGAATGTCATCCTATTCCTGTACTGTGGAGACTGCAAGAAAGTGTTTATTCAACAAATCTTTCATTTCCTTACTTCCATTTGTAGCATTACCCACATTTATATAGTCATATAAATCATAGTCATACAGCACGGAATCAGATCCTTAAGTCCAGCTCATCTATACCGACCAGGCAGCCTAAACTGATCTCGTCCCATTTGCCAGCATTTGGCCCATGTCCCTCTTAAACCCTTCCTAGTCATATACCATCCATGTGCCTTTTAAGTGTTGTAAATGTACCAGCCCCAACACTTCCTCTGCCTGTTCGTTCCATACATGCATCCCATATTACCCTTGAAAACCTTTTTTTTTGCTTTTTAAAACAAGAAACCGATTTCAGTTGGTCTTTGATATCTTATGGAAGTTTCTTCAATTTTCAGCTCAAACAATGATAAATATACCTTTTTGGGTCTGGTAGTGTTAGCATAACTGTTATCAACAACAACAGTAAAACCTTAATGTCAGCAATTACTTTTCCGTGAAACTGTATATTCTGAGGTGGATTAGGCAACTGTAACTTCATTTGGATTTATAAGATGCATAATAAGCTTTCCACAGAATTTTGGCTTGGGTTTTCATACACGGTAAACTGAGCTTTTTCTGAGCCAGAACTCTCTGGAAATTTTTAGAACAACTGCAATATTGCTAACTATGGTAATTTATGACACGTGACTGTTTAGTCCATTTGTAATCTCATTACTTAACCTTTTGGTCGACTTATTTTCTGATCTTTTTAAAATTGGAGCAAAAGTTGATCTGAGCAAATGAAGTTGTTACTATGAAGTGGAATCATTTCTTAGTGCTTTCATAACCATATTGATATCATGGTTACATTGCCAGATGCAAACCAAATTTTCATGTAATCTGCTCCCAAAGTATGTTTTCACCCAGTCGAAGAGCCTGTGATTCCAATGTGACATTTTTATTTCTCTGTTGCTAGCATTTCTGACTGAGAACGCCAATGTGTTTGAAACTTCAACCTTTCATCAACTCATTGAGAAAGTTTGACTGCCAGGGAAAAAAAAGAGGCTTTTATTTATTGGCCTGGCATAGAATAAAGGGTTGATTTTAATTCTGCGTTGAAATGGTTATTACAACTAAATGAGGTCTTAACAGCAAATCAGTGTTAAATTGCTCATGTATAATTGCATAACGAACAGAATACTGTTAGTTTTTAATTAGTTGAAAAGAATAAGCAGTAAACGCTCATGTCTAATTTGGAGAGTAAAGTGTGTTTGCTCAAAAAAATTTCTTAAATCTATAGAGTTGAAAGTATTGTATCTGGAACATGGAAAAATGCCTGGTGTATGCATTGGGTCACAAAACATGTTAATTACTTCAACAAAACAAAGAACTACGGATGCTGGAAATGTGAAATAGAAATTGCTGGAGAAACACAGCAGGTCTGGCATCATCTGCGGCGAGAAACCAGAGTTAATGTTTCGAGTGCAATGACTCTTCTTCAGAACACAGTATATCTCTTCTTAAAAAGAGTCATTGGACTTGAAATGTTAACTCTGCCTTCTGTCCACAAATGCTGTCAGACATACTGAGTTTCAAGAGCAATTTCTGTTTATGTTAATTGCTTTTTCAGTCTAGGTTCTTGTTTACTCCACGAAGTTTCTTCCTATCTCAGGACTAAATCCACAGTTTTGAACTCCCCAACATGTGGTCTCATTATTTAAATCGTTCAAATACTTGAGAGAACTTGAGATCATTTTTCTGTTTGAGCTGAGTTTTAAATATTTCTCTTACTTGAAGAGCAAAAGTCTAAATCCTGATTTTGCTGACTTCCACAGATGCCAAAAGACAGGAATTGCAAAGTGGGATTGTGTTGGGAATTGATTGTCAGAACAGCTAACTGCAATCATGGTTTCAACATTATACTGAGTTGAATCTTTATGTAAATATTGACATATGCTACCCTAGTCAAACTTCTATACCAGTCAGCATGCTCTGAAGGAACTGTACAGTTTGGGATAAAGAAATTGTATTCTGCTTTAATAATGTAATCTGTATTTTACTTGAAACCATTTTTGAAAGAAACAAAATATTTAAAAGTGAAAGAAACAAACCTTTACTCTCGCTGAGCAGTGGAGCCCTTGTTAAATTAATTGGCTTCAATAAATGGTGCCTCAGTATACCTAGATTGTAGTGTTATTTTCAGCAGTCTCGACAGCACTTTATAATTAACTGCTCATTTCTTTTGCAGGAGGCTGCCACTTTCGCTAGAGAGCAAGGCTTTGAGGTGAGTTGACCCTCGGTTGCGCACTAAACAGATCCTAAAAGATTTTGCTGATAATGAAGTTCTTTAGACAGTGATTGATGCCCTATTATACTCTTCAGTCCTTGCAGTTGTTACTATGGTTACCTGGCAGCCATCCTGATTTCTTTGTTCTGCCAGCATGATGTATGACGCACTGTGCTAGGCCTGTACCCAACACCACCTACAGATGTTATTCACAGAATTTTGAAAAGGCTTTTGGGAAGTTAAGAGGCTGGGCATTGGTTGAGGCTTCCCTTGCAGATAAGGTGTCTGTCATTTTAACTATTAAATAGCAACATCTTCCATTTAATTTTATTGTGTAAAGGCTCTTTTGCAAGCCAAGCAATCTGCAGACTGTAGCGGAAGTAAGTTAATACCAATGACTCACTTCCTACTTGAAAGGAACCTGAAAGGCTGAAAATGGTTCTCTAAGAATACACAAAAGAATTTTCAATGCATAATGTTGTAAAGTGAGACAAACGGCTTTTTTGGTAGTTACTTAGACTGAAATCATTCAGTGGTGTGAATTTTGTTTGTCACTTTGGGCATTCATCTGAATAAAGCCTTTAGTACTGGTACTTACAACTGCAGGTAGAAAAACATATGCAATAATGAATTTGATTAGTTAGGGGCCAAAGGTAAAATAAACAACAAATGATTAGTGAGCCTCTAAATTACTATTGTTTGTGATTGAGATAAGTATTGGAAATAATTTAACCAGATATAATCTTCTAAAATATTCCATTCACAAAACTGGATCACAGGTGAACATAATTTTGTAATATTAAACTAGTTTCCTAAAAATTATGGCTGAGATATATTAATTTATCATATTTTCATGTTTTTTTAAAGCCAAAGTCATCATATTTATGCGATAGCTGTCACTTTATAAATAAAGTGCCACTTTCAGTCACCTTCCTGATATGTTACCTTCCTCATATGTTACCTTAATTAAGAACATGTGTGTTTGGAAATTTTTTCTAATTTTACTGTACAATGGCTCCTCTCTGTAAGGCTGCCTTTGGGAATGATACTTCTAAAGAAGTATGTTTATGTGGCTTCTCTGTCCAGTCTATGTTACAAATTTGAATGTTACATAGAAGAATTGATGTTTAGCAGGTTATTATCGCTGCTATATATGCACAGGATTTGAAGCATTTGCAGTTATAGAAATGTTCACCCTATCTTGCTTTGTATAATAATTAAATTTATAGTCATTCAACTGAGTACAATTCTACATGAAAGTACACATTTGGCAGCTGATGTAGTGTCAAACACCAATTGTCTCAAATGATCTACTTCAGGTGGAAAATACTAGTTGACGTTTGTCATATGTCAGATAGCTATGATGCTTGGCTGCTGAAAATTGGCACAAAAATTCTGTCTAACTATATAATACTAATGCAAGATCACAGTAAAATAAATTATGACTGAAATTGTTTGGTAGGATTATTGATTCATACATCACACTTATTACTTGAAGGCTTTTATGTTCCTGCTGAAAGCAGCAGTCTAATACAATAAATGAGAAGATTATTGCCTGATTTCTGGAAAAAATGTTAAAATGCAATTTTTGTTTGAACAGGTTGTATTCTACAATATATTATTTAACTCCAATTTTGGTGGCTTCAACAGTAAATATTTAACAATCTGTCAGTGTGTCAATTGTTAGGGCCCAGGATTTAATCTCCCTCAATTATTATTTGAATTTGGCATCCGCATTGAGGACATTTTGTAGAAGAGTCCTGTCTTCTGATTGGAGAAAAAAATTCTGCACAAAAGATCCTGCTTTTTTATTTTAGAAAAAAATGTTCCCAGTTTTTTAAAATGTAGACCATATCTGAAGGAAAATTATGCTCTGAAGGTGAAAGAGGAAAGTAGAAAAAGATTTAGGAAAAATAGCAAATGATCTATGATAATTGGATGATTGGGCAACATGTCATTTCATAAATTGCTCGGGCAACTTGATGGTAAAATAATAGTCACCTAATTCTCGAAGTAACAGAAATTACCTTTTAAAACATGCTAGTAATGAAATGTGAACTGCTTATGTAATCGTGAACTGTTATGCATACACTGTATATTCTTATTAAATTTATTAATATGCTAATCAATGTACACTATTTGTATTTATAGTTTTTATACTTATAGTTTTTATACTAACTGTTGTAACAAATAAAGACCAGATTAAGTTCCTAAATTAGTCCAAACGTGCCTGCATAAAATGATTACATGACCCAATTTGCTTTTCTGCCAATAGACAGAAGATATTAAAGAAATTGCCAAGAAAGCTCAGGGTTTGCCAAAAGTGAATGAAAAGCGACAGCGTGTTATAGTTTTCACACAAGGCAAAGAAGACACTATTATGGCCACAGGTAAACTTGATGCTGGTAAATAATGCCTCCCTCATGTATTTTCATTTGTTGCTCCTGAACAAAATGTTCAATTTTTGGGTTAACCTCCCATCACAAGAATGTTAAATGTGAAGTGGAGAGAAACAGGAATGTGGCAGTGTCAAACACACAGTAACAAAAACAGAAATGATTAATGTTTAAAGAATTGCAGTGCCTCAGGAGAAGCTTTGTTTTTGAACAGAAATGGAACTCCATTGCTTCAATCTTTTTTTTTAATTCACAACAGCAAAATGGATGTCAATAATAAAATGGAATTAGAGATTTTCTTTTCCCAAAGGCACCTTTCTAATACTGCGTGATCCTTCATTTTGTCTGTAATTCATACATGCATAGGGGTGCAATCATTCTCTTGGCTCAAAGTGTCATGTTAAGTCATTTAATAATGATTAAGGACATAAAAATGCTTGGCCCATAGGGCAAATCTCAAAAGAGATGCCAATTTACTCATTTTTTTTACATTTTACTGCAGACTTCCTTGCCTGCTGGCATTAAACCGTTTAATGAACACAAGAAGAAGAGAGTTGTCTTTAATTTAGCATCTAGTGATACCACAGAACCACACAGGGCATAACTAACACACTTATTATATCAGTAATTAGGCTCATTGTGCTCTAAACCTTACAGTATAGATGGCTAATAAATGATCGCTAGAAAAGTTACAGGATTTATACAGCCATGTGGATGAAATAAAATGCCTTTTTTGTACAGCTTAACAATGCCAAACTATTAAACCACAACAATATGCCATTTATGCCTTTTTGCTGAAGTGCGTGAAATGTAATTTTTAAATGTTAAGGTCATCAAGATTCAATCAAATAGAGTATGTGACAGATATTTGATGGACATCAAAACAGCAAATATTCATTTCTAGCATAAGGTTAATTTTGGTCTCTTTGACAAGCACTGAATGTACATATAATTATTTATTCTTTTCACATTGAAATCACTTCCTAATTTGTTATAGTTTATATAGTAACTTTAACAGTAATTCATAATGAAGTATATTTTACTTTGACTGTTTCTGTGAGCCATACACACAAGTAAGGTCAAATTTTGATCAAAGGCAGTATTGAACTAACTATTGCATGAAATATACTGCACAGAAATAGGCCCAATTGACTCACTAAGTCCATGCTGCCATTTATGCACCATTTGACCTTCCATCCTTCTCAGTTAACTCTTAGCAGCATAATCTTCTATTCTCTTCCTCATATGCTTCACCAACCTCCCATCTATTCTATTTACCTTAAACGATCCCTGTGATAGTGTGTTCCACATTCTCAGCACTGTCTGGGAAAATACATTTTTTTGAATTCCCCATTTAATTTCATGGAGCTTATCTTCTTTGGTAGCCTCTAGTTTTGGGTTTCCCCACAAATGGGGATATACTTTTTGTTCTATTCTTGAAGTTCATACCATACCCTTGGGAGAGATTGGGAACTTTGTTCATTTTTTCCTGCTCCCAATCACCATCCAGTAGTATTTCAAGTGGATGTTATGGAGAAAATAGCTGTTAGTGTTACGCCTTTCACAGCCAAAATATCTTGATGGCTGTTGCTCTACACTCACTATCAGGGTCATATATGAAGAGTCAGTGCTTGATCAAGCCTCAAGGATGCTACTATATCTATACTCAAAGCCATGTCAATAAACAGAACCACTGTTTTCAGGCTAGGAAAGGTAAAGAACGAGGGAAAAGTATGTGTAAGAGTTCAGGAAGGATACAGATTACTTTTATCCACCTGTTATTTTAATAAAATCAACAGCACTGAGATTGAATTCTACATTCTAATTCATAAATTTGCACAAAATGCATAATAACTGTATAAGTGTAGGCAATTAGAGAAAAGTATTTGGAAATTTTGTTTTCATGATAACATTTCAACTGAAACATAGGTGGCAAGAGACTTCTGTGTTTAATTGCATTAAATGTTAAGGGATCAAAGTCCCAGTTTGCCCGATATTACAAGTCCTGTGAAAATATTGACCATTTATTTGGGATATTATTTCACAAATATGTGTTATGTACCAGATCAAAACCTCACCAAAACATACTGAGGACCTTAACTTATTTTTTTTTAAGGCAAGTGTAAATCCCTGCGTTCCAGATCTGATCGGATTGGTCTACCACTAAGCTTTAAACAAAACACACTTTTTATTCTTAGAACATAATTAAAATATAAACAAAAAGAGCTGGCAATACTTTACAAGATAATATGATTTAACCAGTAATCATCAATCGTTACAACATAGGCAGCAACCATAAACACACCCTCGGCAAAACTGGTGTTTTACTCATGTACCATCTTTCTACTCTAGCAGTAGAGAGAGAATTCTAGTTGTTAGTTCCACTGCCAGCGAGCTGAAACCTTCTCACTAACTGAAAGCAAAACTAAAAATCTTCCAGGGTCTGTGTGAGCCCAGGCCCCACCGCCTCATCTTTGTTTTGTCTAATTTAAAAAAAATACACCCAGGGATAACTCCAAGCTGTTTACCAACTGACTGTCTAGATGAGACATTGCCGCATCGCTGTGGCGACATCACTCTGGCAACACCTCTGTACAGGAGAAACAGGACAGAACACGCCTCTCTTAAAAGCACAGTGCTGTCACACCTGTTGTTGTCTGGTACCTTGACCAAAACACTAATTATTCTTGCATGAGCATTAATGGTGAGTGTTGAAAAGTTATCCAATGGCATGGGAATTGAATAGGCAAAATCATACATCTAACGTATTCTATTATGCATTTCTAACAGGAGTTAGATCAAAAGTGCTAATGAAACCCAGTTTTCCAATCTCGAATCTAAGGGTATCTTGGCCATATTAATAAGACGCTTGTCTTAGGAATCGCAGATGCAAAGGATATTATAGATCCTTGTAAAATTAAAATAAAATCGTCATTCTGGTATCTTGAAAAAAATGGGTAGCTAGTTGATGCATTGGTATTGATTTTCCATCCTTACCTTGATTTGGAAAACGTTCAGTTAGATTGGACAAAAGTGAATGGAGCTCTTTGACTCAAAAAGAGAGGGAGACAGAAAGCAGGAAACTTACTAGCCAGTTATCTAAACATTTGTCATTGGGAGCTGTTAAAGACACCATGAATTATATTATAATACGACAATCATGTTTGACCAAATCTTGGAATTCTTTGAAGAATAACAAATAAAGGGGAACTGGGACAAAAACAATGTTCTGAGGAAGGGTCACCAGACCCAAAATGTTAACTTTTTTTTTCCTTCACAGATGCGATCAGACCTGCTGAGCTTTTCCAGCCACTTTGCTTTTGTTCCTGATTTATAGCATGCGCAGTTCTTTCGGTTTTTATTAAAGGGGAACTGGGAGATGTACTGTATTTTGATTTAGAGAAGGCATTTGATAAAGTGCTGTATCAAAGCTTATTGTAGAAACTAAGACCTCATGGCTTTTTGGCATGGATAGACCAACTGGCTAATAGATGATAGGCGAAAATGGGTCATTTTCTGGTTGGCAAAATTCTAACAAACGATACGCCGTAGGGATCAGTGTTGGGGCCTCATGTTATTTTAATAATTTGTACAAACAACTTGAAGGGCCTGAAGGTACGGTTGCTACATTTGCTGATGGCTCCAGGACAGTTAGGAAAGCAAGTTGTGAAGGGGACCTAAGGATGTTGCAGAAGGATGTCGATTGTTTGAATGAATGGGCAAGGATCTGGCAAATGATATATAAAGTGAGAAAATATGAAATTGTTTTTATTTTCTTCTTCCTGCTGAAATGGACATATTATCTAAATGGTGAGACATTGCAGAGCAGTGAAACGCAGTGGGATCTAGGTGACCTATTGCTTGGATCCCAAAAGATTAGTAAGGAGGTACAGCTAGTAATTATGAAAGCTGATAGAATGTTACATAGTGTGTTGAGTTGGAGGATTGAATACAAGATTTGAGTTGTCATGCATAAGCTATGCGGGACATTGGCGAGGCTACATCTGGAGTATTGTATCAAATATTGGTCTGACAGCATCTGGGGAGAGGGAAAGAGTTAAAATTTCAATGCCACTATGACTCTCTTTAAGATCAATGACTATTAGGTTACCCCTCAAACTCTTTTCCAGAGAAAATAGGCCCAAATGATCAATCCTTTTCTGATCTGTTTTTCAATAGATTTATTGAATAGGGATGTGTCACCTTATGACACCTCCTTATTCTATACCAAAATATACTACTTTACATTCTGTTTCAAAGGAGAATAAAAATCAGAAGCAGGAGTGAGCAATTTTGCCTCAAGCTAATTCCACCATTCAGTTAGATCATGGCTGATCTTCAATTTAACTGCATAGTCCTGCACTATCCCCGTAAAACCTGTTATCTTCAATTTTTAGAACTGTATCCATATCTCTTGAATGTACTCAATGACTAAACCTACACAGTTGTCTAGGATAAGGATTCCGAAGTGAAGAAGTTCCTCTTTATCTTCAGCCTAAATGGCCAGCTTCTTCTGTAACATTGTAACCATCCCCCCAACCCGTCACAACATTCTCTCTAATTTTTCTGTATAGTGCTTATGTTTCTCACTGCTTTATTTTCTCATTTATTTTCCATTTTATTTATCAGTTTCTTCCTCCTGTTCAATTAATTTTTAAATATTTGCCACCTTTCCTCAAACACTCTTAAAATGTATGAATGCCTTCAATCCAGAACGTGGCCATTTATCCTCTGAGTTTGTTCAGTTTAGTCCATTTTATGTATATCCCTTTTGACTTTGAATGCCCTTGTCTCATTGCTCAAATCTCATGGCTTACTTTTTTGGAGGTTCCTTGAATTCCGTAGCCCTTGGTGAGTTTGAGAGCAGATAATAACTGAGATTTGTGTCAACAAGCAAGTGGAGGACAGTATTAACAATGGAAAAATACCACAGTCCCCCTAGCAAAAGGAGAATAATAGCATGGATAAGAAAAAATATGATATGCAGCACTATA